TCGTTATGGTGTTCAATTATTAAAAGCAAGTATGGAGTTCAATCCAATGATAGGGATTCTAATGTGGTTAATAGAGGCAATTGTCGTTCTCCGTGAAAATCCATTTCTCGTTTGTATCCTCTAGTGTCTAATTTTTTTTCATTCAAAGTGGGTAATGGGGAGAATGTTCGGTTTTGGGAGGATGTTTGGATAGGGGATATTTCGTTTGCTAGATCTTTTCCCCTTCTTTACAGGTTGGCTCGTTCTCCAAATGTGTCTATAGCATCGGTGGCTTGCTCGTCTACGACACCCATCTCCTGGAATTTTGATCTCATTAGAAACTTGAATGATTGGGAGGCGGGGGAGTTGGCATCTTTGTTGGTTGTGCTTGAGGGGGTTTCTCTTTCTTCATCTTCCGATAGTAGGGTGTGGAATCTTGTCTCTTCTGGGGTCTTTTCATGCAAATCCTTTTTTAATAAGATTATTGATAATCCCTCGGTTCTCTTGTTCCCTTTTCATAAGAAATTTTGGGAAGCGGGTGTCCCTCATAAAGTGAAGTTTTTCATGTGGTCTTTGGCTCAAAAGAGTGTTACAACTAATGATGTTTTCCAGAGGAGAAGGCCTAATCACTCTTTATGCCCCCAATGGTGTGTGATGTGCAAGAGAAGCTTGGAGGTAGCGGATTATCTTTTTCTTCATTGCTCGGTTGCTGCTGTATTATGGCAGCGCCTTTTCAGGTTATGTGAAGTGCAGTGGGTTGCTCCACGGGAGTGTATGCATATGCTTCTTATTTGGTTTGACGGGTTTGGGAGTACCAAGAAAGCTAAAACAATGTGGATAGGCATTGTTTTTGTTATTTTCTGGGTTATATGGTTGGAGAGAAATGTTGGAATTTTTGAAGGCAAGGAAGTGTAGAGGATTTGTGGGATAAGGCTGAATATTTGGCCTCTTTTTGGGCATTTGTATCTCTTTCTTTTAAAGGAGTCCTTTTGTTTTTGATCTCTAGGGATTGGGCTACTGTTTGCCATCCTTTGGGTTCGAGTTTTGTGATTTTGTTTTGCTCTTTCTTCTTTTCTTTCTTTGTATAAGGACTTCTTGTCCTCTTTCTCTTTCCCGTTTTAATAAAATTTTGTTGTTATTCAAAAAAAATTTAATGTTATTTTTGAGAAATTTTTGAAACGTTGAATGTTATTTTTCATTAGTTTTGGAATATTAAATGTCGTTCTTTTTATTTATTTTTTATTTTTTGAAATTCTAAGAATGTTTGTTTTATATTAAAACCTTCACCTATATTAATATTTTGGTTATCTTCAACAACTTGCACCTCGCTTCGGTGAGGCGCCACGCTTAAGCTCCAGAAGACCTTAGGGCCTTAATGCGCCTGGAGCTTTTTAAAACATTGTATAAAAGACAGAAAATATACAAGTCTACAAGGGGCATACCTTAGGCATATTCATACAAATAACTCAAACCCAAAAAATCAAACCATTAAGAAGGGGTAAACAAACCATATCTAACCAAAGTCCTAACCAAAGGTCACCCAACCACTACCACCATAGACTGAACATGAGCCTGTAGCAGAAGAGCTGGGAAGGATGGACTTCTATACTTTGCACAACCCACAAGTGAGTATAAACCTATCTAATTTTACAATTACAACCACAATCCAGGATATACCTATATTAACCAAAATGAACCAACTCTAATCCAAATCCCACACCATAATTACAGCATGTGCTTTATCTCACTTGTAGGCCAATATCACATCTATTTACATACCCAAAATAATAAATCGAAAGAAAAACAAAGCAGATAACAAGACAGCCATCTTTCCTGGGTCTCCTAGGTGGTTGAAGCAGCTATTCAACCATATTTATGGCTTAGTGCAACCATAGCAACAGAAAGCTATGGGTCTTCCATCTGGCATAGCCTTCAAGATTCAAAAAACACACCGAATCAAATCTTCCCGGGCCTCCTAGGTGATTGATACCTATTCAACCATTTAGACTGGTTTAAAAGCTGCTATAGTATTTTTTTTGTTGAGAAAGTGCATCTATGGGTTCTCAACTCATAAAAAGACATGCACAAAAAGCAACAGCAGCAGTAGCAACCCCACAGCGTGGCTACTACAGCAGGGGGACAACAATAACAACCAAGGCAAAAAAAGGAGATGCAGCAACACAGCATCAGTGGCAGTTGCAGATTAGCAACAGTACCCAAACCAAAAACATTAGCATGAAACTAACATTTAGAACTACAAACTTTCAGCACCCAAATGCAAACTTGTTAGAATTTCTCATCTTTACCTTCACCTACTCCACTACACACTCCACTTCACCTACCTCCACTTCACCACACACTCCACTTCACCTAACCCACTATCACCTCCACTACACCTACTACCACATTTTCTTCTATATATAGATTGTATAGGAATTGTAATCAATAAATCTTGTAATCTATCAATTAATCAATAATACATACATAAATTACATAAATTCTTACATGGTATCAGAGCCAGGTTGAGAATTTAGTGATTCCGCTTCACCGGCGGACGGCAGCCTCGCCTTGGCCGTCCGCCGGACAAACCCAAAATTTGTCTTTGGCTCAAAAGAGTATTACAACTAATGATGTTCTCCAGAGGAGAAGGCCTAATCACTCTCTATGCCCCTAATGGTGTGTGATGTGCAAGAGAAGCTTGGAGGTAGCGGATTATCTTTTTCTTCATTGCTCGGTTGCTGCTGTATTATGGCAGCGCCTTTTCAGGTTATGTGAAGTGCAGTGGGTTGCTCCACGGGAGTGTATGCATATGCTTCTTATTCGGTTTGACGGGTTTAGGAGTACCAAGAAAGCTAAAACAATGTGGATAGGCATTGTTTTTGTTATTTTCTGGGTTATATGGTTGGAGAGAAATGTTGGAATTTTTGAAGGCAAGGAAGTGTAGAGGATTTGTGGGATAAGGCTGAATATTTGGCCTCTTTTTGGGCATTTGTATCTCCTTCTTTTAAAGTAGTCCTTTTGTTTTTGATCTCTAGGGATTGGGCTACTGTTTGCCATCCTTTGGGTTCGAGTTTTGTGATTTTGTTTTGCTCTTTCTTCTTTTCTTTCTTTGTATGAGGACTTCTTGTCCTCTTTCTCTTTCCCGTTTTAATAAAAATTTTTTGTTATTCAAAAAAAATTTAATGTTATTTTTGAGAAATTTTTGAAACGCTGAATGTTATTTTTCGTTATTTTTGGAATATTGAATGTCGTTCTTTTTATTTATTTTTTATTTTTTGAAATTCTAAGAATGTTTGTTTTATATTAAAAATATTTTGGTTATCTTCAACAACTTGCACCTCGCTTCGGTGAGGCGCCACGCTTAAGCTCCAGAAGACCTTAGTGCCTTAATGCGCCTGGAGCTTTTTATACAAATCAGAGTTTTAAAAGGCTTTCCTGAGACTCGCCTTGATGCTCGCCTCGCCTCGAGACTAAGGTAAAACGCATCAAGGCTTTGATTCTTAGGCATTACTCCCCAAAGGCTTTCGCATCACAGTTTGAGACATGCGCCTTAAGTGCGCTTTGTACGCTTTTTGCGCATAAGCATGTGAGGAGTATGCACATGCAGAGGTTGCCTTTGGCTTTTGTTAAACTTAGTCTATTAGATTGTTTAAACATAAAAAAAAATAAAAAGAAACTTTTTTGTAACTATATTCTACAGGAAAAATTAAGTAAATGATCAATCCAAGAAAAAAAAAGCACAGTTAATGGTCAAGTGAGAAGCTCAATCACTAAAGTTAAGAAAACCAATCACTTTCAGTGAAGGAAAACTTCTTTTTATGTAGTAGAATGTTCAAAACCTTAGGGGGAAAAGTATTTACACCTTTATAATTAATTGTTTTTATTTTTTTACTATTTTAAAATATTTAATTTATTCACTAAATATTAAAATTTGAAATTTGAAATGCTTACGCCTCAACGCCTTGAGGCTTACGCCTCGCCTCATGAAGGGTAAAATGCCTCGAGGTACGCATTCGCCTTTAAACACTTTGATACAAATAACTCAAACCCAAAAAATCAAACCATTAAGAAGGGGTAAACAAACCATATCTAACCAAAGTCCTAACCAAAGGTCACCCAACTACTACCACCATAGACTGAACATGAGCCTGTAGCAGAAGAGCTGGGAAGGATGGACTTCTATACTTTGCACAACCCACAAGTGAGTATAAACCTATCTAATTTTACAATTACAACCACAATCCAGGATATACCTATATTAACCAAAATGAACCAACTCTAATCCAAATCCTACACCATAATTACAACATGTGCTTTATCTCACTTGTAGACCAATATCACATCTATTTACATACCCAAAATAATAAATCGAAAGAAAAACAAAGCAGATAACAAGACAGCCATCTTTCCTGGGTCTCCTAGGTGGTTGAAGCAGCTATTCAACCATATTTATGGCTTAGTGCAACCATAGCAACAGAAAGCTATGGGTCTTCCATCTGGCATAGCCTTCAAGATTCAAAAAACACACCGAATCAAATCTTCCCGGGCCTCCTAGGTGATTGATACCTATTCAACCATTTAGACTGGTTTAAAAGCTGCTATAGTATTTTTTTTGTTGAGAAAGTGCATCTATGGGTTCTCAACTCATAAAAAGACATGCACAAAAAGCAACAGCAGCAGTAGCAACCCCACAGCGTGGCTACTACAGCAGGGGGACAACAATAACAACCAAGGCAAAAAAAGGAGATGCAGCAACACAGCATCAGTAGCAGTTGCAGATTAGCAACAGTACCCAAACCAAAAACGTTAGCATGAAACTAACATTTAGAACTACAAACTTTCAGCACCCAAATGCAAACTATAACTATAACTATCACTATCACTATAACTAGCTTCTTTGACAGCCTTGTAAAGCTTTTGATGTTCTTTAGTCTTTACCTGTTAGTGTTTCTATCACCTACCTAGACGTGGTAGGGTATGCTGATTATATGTTTCTAGATTTGACAAATTTCACTTCTCAGGTCAAAGATAATGGTCAAGTGGTACTGAAGAACACATTAACTGGTCACCAGAAACCAGTGTCGGCTGTCTCATGGAGCCCTGATGATTGTCAGCTCCTTACATGTGGACTGGAGGAGGTTATCAAACGCTGGGATGTTAATTCTGGTGAATGTCTGTATGTTTATGAAAGACCTGGTGTTGGCCTGGTATCCTGTGGATGGTTTCCGGATGGTAAAGGGATAGTTTCTGGCATGACGGACAAGAGCATTTGCTTGTGGGACTTGGAGGGAAGAGAGCTGGAATGTTGGAAAGGGCAGCGGACGCTCAATATATCAGACATGGCCATAACTGATGATGGGAAGAGGATCATAAGCATTTGTAGAGAGACTGCAATCTTGTTGCTTGACAGGGAAGCAAAATTTGAGAGACTAATTGAAGAGCAGGAGGTAATTACTTCATTTTCATTGTCAAAGGACAACAAGTTCTTATTGGTTAATCTTATGAACCAAGAAATTCATCTTTGGAGCATAGAGGATGATGTAGAGGTTGTTTCCAAGTATAAAGGTCAGAAACGTACTCGATTCGTCATCAGATCTTGTTTTGGTGGATTTGAGCAAGCGTTTATTGCCAGTGGGAGTGAAGATTCACAGGTACAATCTTCTTCGTGTTTAGTTTTGACGTGATTTATTAGAGTTGTCATTTCCACTTCTCAAATTCAATTAACTGCTCATTACTGTTCTCTCTCTATTTCTCACTTCACTATATAGAAAAAAGGAGCAAGGGCAGACTTTGAAAACTTATTTTTTTCTGCCTCCTTTTAATTATGTTTTAGTGTTTTGTGCTTTGGAGTTAAGATAGAAGGTTTAAACCCAGCCCATTTTTTTTGTTTTGTTTAATGTACTTTTTTCTTTTGGTTCAATCATACTATAAGGTTAGCTCAAGATAGGTTGGAAAGTGGCAAGCTTTGTATGTCTTGTTTATTAAATGATGTCAGGCCAGTTCAATTACAATTTACAAGGTTAAGCTAGGGAACTTGAAAGAATTTAGCCAACTAGATCCTACAGTAACTAAGCTTTCATGTTTTAATGCTATTTAAGTTAGCAAATAGAGCAATGTTTCAGACATGCAAATAGGATTTATCAAGTTAGGGTGCTGATCCGAAAGCTTTTGGGGGTCAGCATCCTGACTGCAGTACTACTAACTGTCTTTTCTTGCAGCTTGATGAAATGACTGCCAAACTTCATTCGGTCATCAATTCAGTTTGGTTTTAAGAGACAATGAGCCACTTAGATTCCTTAGATGTCTATTGACATGACAGGCGACTTTCTTTACTAGTGTGATTTTAGAAATCTGGCTGATTCATGATGTGGGCAATTAACAAGCCTTGTCAAATTGGTTGAGAACGGCAACCTTTGGGTCTTTTTAATGTAGAAGGTGAACACCTTGCGTTGTGAAAGGAGGAGCCTCTCTCCCTGTCATGCAGAAACATAGCTCCATTCTGTCTCTAGATTACTGGTAACTTTTTTAATCCTTCCTTGTGCAGGTATATATATGGCATAGAGGCTCTGGGGAACTCATTTCAACACTGCCAGGGCATTCTGGAGCTGTTAATTGTGTCAGCTGGAATCCAAGAAATCTTCACATGCTGGCTTCTGCCGGTGATGATCATACAATTCGAATATGGGGTCTAGATGATCTCCAGTGTTTAGGAGGTACTCACAGCAATGGCAATGGCAATGGCATTGTTCACCAGTCCAATGGAAGAACTTGAGATGATTATTAAGAGTTGAAAAGTTCCCTTGCATTCATGATAGATGGAAGTTTTCTTTGTAGCTTATCTTCATCCACATTTTGTATAAATCTCCCTCTCATTGGCTTTTCTTTTCTGAAGCATGCAAAAACTCTCTATTATGTAGGACCGCTATCTGCCAATAATCTCTGCAACTTAATGGCCATTTTTTTACAATATTTATTTCCTTTATTTGAATTGGTTATACTAGTGGTTACGAGTTTTACCTTATAATTTTGTGTTCTGTTCTTTGATTTCTTCGTTGGGAAATACAAATGGGTACATTTCTGATTTTCGAATAAAACCCTGGTCAGTCCTTTTGAGTATCTTTATGTAACTTTTAGTCTGGTTGGCCAAAAACACTGTTTGGGCCATCCTTTATCATGGCAGGTAGCTTTCTCAGTATTTGCAGGTGACCTATTTGGATGATCTTAGCTACGGCAAGCTACTTATGCTCTGCAAGTATGTTTCCAGGCATGTTATTGTCTGTGATTCTCTTTTCTTTTGACTTCATTTATTTATTTATTGAAAACTGGTTTGAAACTCATAACAAATTAAAACTTAGTTTTTATAATTTGTTATTTTTTTCAATTCATACTCACTATTTGTCTACAGTGTCTTCAAACATCAACATTTCACTGACTGACTGATAATTGCGAATCACTGATGATTTATCATTTTTTAACCAAATTTTTTTGGTTATAAGTTTTAGGGTAAATTACACATACACTCCTTATCCCTTATTCTCTAAAATCACACTGGCACCCCTGTTAGCTAACTCTGTTTGATGCAATGGTAAATTTACCTTAATACCCACTTATTTCGTCCTTTCTTTCTTCTCTAACTTTTCGTACCTTCCAGAGACACACTCTCACAACCAAACTCTCTATCACCGTCAATGATCACTTATTCACTCTGTATCAGTGCAGCTGTTGTCGCTATCCTACAATATAACCACTCTTTTCTCCACTATTTTTTCCTTCACATACAGCCTCATCACCACTGATGACAGTTGCTGCTAATGTTTGAAGAACACAATTGGTAAGCTCACCACGCCAATCTTGGGTTCGATTGCCCTCAATGTTGGGGGCTTTGATCACTCTAATGGGGATTGTTTTTATGGTTTTGATTTCTAGAGTGTCCATCGTGAGCCACCAGCAATAGAGTGGAAGCCCTTAGTCGCCGCCGACAGCTGTGAACCCGTCGTCCATTGAAGCCACAAACCTACCTTTTCTTTCTATCACTCTTCTACCCTCTCTCTAAATCATCAAAATAGGGTTTGATTTATTGGAAAAATTAGTTTTATATAGGCTTATTTTGAGCAATCTTTGAGTCCAAAATAGAGAGGGTCTCACGTCTTTTGAGGTGGGTCCGAAGAGGTGATGTGTTCCTTACTGCATGACAAGTCACTCGATAAAGACGGTTCGTCAAAATCATTTATGAGTGAGTGAGAACTTGATGTTGTTTTCAGGTTCGTGGAATAGATATTTAAAGAATTAAATGTGGGTTTTCTTGAAATAGGTTATTCCACATTGAAACTTTAAAAGAACTTATGTGTGTATATAAGTTCTAGGTGGCAACACTTGGGTTGGGCTCCAAGAGGCACCCCAAGTTTGTAGAAGGGAGGAGTTATGGACAAAGTATACCTTAGCTCGAACCACCACACGCGCACTGCCACCGCTGTTCGGCCGGTCGAGCCGGGCGCGGGTGTGGGTTGTGGATCAGATCGGTTCTTATATTAATTTTTTGGACAAAATTTATTTAAATTTTTTCCAAATTTCTTGCAGAAAAATTAATTTAAATTTTATGCCACTGTAATTTGTATTTGAATTCAAATTTTGTGCCCCTTTTTATATCCGAATTCCATAACAGTTTTTCAATCTGTTCAAATTTGGACAGATTCAAATTAGTTTTATAGTTATAAAACTGCCTAGACCAAGGTTTTAAAAAGCGGCCGCAACCGTTACGTAATGGTTATGGTAGTTACCGTCACCTGTTACGGCCGCTTTTGCAGTGTGATTGAGATTCGCAGGTATATCGGCCGTAGCGGCTGCTATAGCAGTCGTAACGGTGCCGTAACGGCCTGTTACGCACCGTTACGTAACGGCTCCGAATTGCTTCTTTAGAGAAAAAAAATTGAAAATGGGGAAGAGATATAGAGAGAGAAGAGGAAAGATGGAGAAACAAGAGATAGAGAGAGAGAATAGGGAAGATGAAAAATACGTTATTGATTTGTTGAAGTTGTAAGACCTATGCTATTTTATTCAGCTGCTATCACTCAACCATTTTGTTTGTGTGTGTCTATCTATATATTGTTTGATAATAATAATAATAATAATAATACTATCTATATAGTGTTTGATAATAATAATAATAAGTGTGGTCTTTATTTATTTGGCTTGCTTAAAATATGTATATATATAGGCTCTTATTTATTCTTTTACTTTTTCCGTTGTTTATCTTGTATATAATAGTTAGTGATTGATTTTTTGTATAATATAAAGTCATTAATTATTAAAATAAAATGTAAAAAACTTAGTTTATAGTGATTTAAAAATATGAAATATATTGGATCAAACTTAAAAATTTATAAAAATTGATCAATATTTATTTTAAAACCCAATAAATATAATCATGGAAAAAAAATGTGCGTATCGGTAAGTTTTTTTCAAATTGTGCGAAAAATAGAAAAATTTACGGTTCCGGTTACCGCAACAGTTACGCTACGGCCTTTACACCCCGCAACCACAACCGCGCCACTGCCACCGTTACGGCGACCGCAACCGCTTTTCAGAACCTTGGCCCAGACAGATTCAAATCTGTCCAACAGTTACCAACAGATTCAAACTCCAACAGTTATCTATTCAAACAGTGTTACACCTGTTGGTTTGAATTGAATCTGTTCCAGTTTGAAATTAATACCTGTTCGGGTCTGCAATTTGCCTATAAATAGAATTGATTCCAGCAGTTTTTGGAGATCTGAAATCATCCAGGAAAAGTCTGAAAAAATTCATTTTCTTCCCAGTTTTGCTCTTTAGTTGCATTATTCTTTATATTAATTTTAGGGGGAAAAAAATAAAGAGAATATAGAACACAGGTTTGGTTTGCCATACAAATTGTTTGTAGTGCTACTATAATTTGTAAAGATCATTGTATCCTTGGAGATAGACGCCTTATATCTGTAAGCACCGTAGTGGGGCGAATCTGTCTTAAGGATAGAGTGTTACATATTCGACATGATCTTTTTATTATTCATTCAGTTCGGTAAAATAAATTCTGTAAGTTATTTATTTTATTTGTTTGATTTGGTTTCAATTTATTTTTTACACAGAAGATTGTTCCAACATGATTTGTGTATTTTGATTTTGTGAGTATGGGTTCAAATTGTGCATCAATTGGATTGATTTTGTGTGGTAGAGTTGGGGTCGGGGCAGTGTTTGCTACATCAATTGGATTGTTGCACATATATATATGATGATACTGTAAACTTGAAGGATGGATGGGCCAGATTGATCCACACTTCAGATAGGTCTGTTGGGCTTATAGTTCGCAGAATACACCTGCAAAGACGGTCCAATGAAGGGAAGTCCCCTAGTGGACACTTCGCCAATCAAGTTAGTTCAAGGCAAGGAGGTTTTTCCAGAGAGATAATGTACGAGAGGAATCAGGGAAAACTTAACCTATGTCGTTCTTTTGAAGCCTTTTATCTTTTTCATTCATCATTTCCTTATTCCTTCCCAGCTGTCTCGTCGGCCGTAAGTCTAAGTTTTAGCTGACCTCATTCACATTGAGCCTGTTTTCTCCGACGTGAAGGGACTACTGCATTTAATGCTACCAAGGTCTCATTAATGGCTGATGTATGGGTGTAATAACTTTGCAGATCTTGATCTACTTACGTGGCTGGTTCCCTGCTTGACAAGTGTTTAGATGCCATTGGTCCCTGGTTCAACATAGGGTGCTAGGCTTTAGTACTTGGACCGTGAATTAGGCTCTAAGTCGTGGGCCAAAATCTTTTGTGGGCCCACCGATGTCAATAAATATTGTTTATAAGGTGTTTGTGGGAAGGCCACTTACTGCTGTTGATGGATCAAAATGATGCCATTGATTTATATAGTGGTTATGTGATGGATTTATGGGAGGCGGAGTGGGGGTGCAGTGGAAAATTGGGTTGGGGTGATAATGTGATTGATGATTTTGGCCTAAGTTGTCAAGGCGTGATTAACAGAGCTATCTCTGTGTTAGAATTGCTGGATTGTCGGCACTAGTTCTACATACTCTTTTATTACCCATTTGTTGGAATTTCTAGTACTTTATTTTTTAATTATTCAATGTTCTTTGAGAGGCAGCAAAAATGTTTTAGGGTCTTTTGATCCCTCAAGGGTCTATAACTTTGTAGAAATCATGAAAGGTGGATGCTGTGGACTTGAGCTATTGGAACCGAGGATTTGCATTGAATAAGGGTGTCTTATTGAGTTTCAGGAGTCATCTTTAAGTATTTTTTTTTCAAAATTATATTGTAATGTGTTCTTTTACCATCAATAAAATCTTACTTTTATATCCAAAAAAAAAAAAAAAAATGTGGAGGATGAAAGGTGAGGCTGTTGTGGGGTGGGAGGATTACTGATAGTGTTTTTATAGAGAAAGAAAAACACTTGCTAGTATTTTTTTTTTGTGTGGAAATTTAGCCAAAATCTCTTCATTGGATTATTATTTGGTAAAAAAGACCGCCCAATTTATTTTGCTTCATAAACTTCCTAAAAATGAGGCGCACAATTGAGTAATGATAAAATAAAATATTTTTTTTTCTTGGACAATATTATTAGAGTAACATGTTACTGTGAGACAGAATAACATGTTACTGTCAAATAAGAGTAACATGTTATTGTTTACATCAATTTCAATAGAAATATTTTTTTATTTTTTTTAAAATTTCAAAGTCAATATGAATCTTATTTGATATATCTTTTTTTTTTTGATCTGTTATTTGATATATCTTGATGAGATGATTCTGAAAATATTAATTTTATTAAAAATTGATATTTAAATGAAAAATTATATTATTTAAAGATTAGTATTTTAGTAATAATGGTATATATTAGGCTTTTTAAAAAAGCATTTTTTTTTTGTTTATTCTTTAATGTTACGAGGGTTTTTAACTAAATCTTCCTTTTATTTTAACAGATTGGTGATGAAGGTTTGGATGAGAAAATAAACCAATAAGGGCAAAGTGGGCATTTACGAATTTTTTTTTGCGCGTCAAGTCAACAAACGGTTGACTTACAAAGACGTCT